CCTGCCCGCAGAACCGGAGCCGGTGCAGGCTCAGCAGAGCAAGACGGGGAAGTACGTCCCCCCGAGCCTGCGTGACGGAGCCAGCCGCCGCGGGGAGTCCATGCAGCCCAACCGCAGGGGTACGGCGGGGGCGCACTCGCGGGGGGGGGGGCCGCGTTCCACCTTAACCCTGACCCCTTCTTTGTCCTTCCCCCCCCTCCCCAGCCGACGACAACGCCACCATCCGTGTCACCAACCTGTCCGAGGACACGCGTGAGACCGATCTCCAGGAGCTTTTCCGCCCCTTCGGCTCCATCTCCAGGATTTATTTAGCCAAGGACAAGACCACTGGCCAATCCAAGGTGGCCATGGGGGGATTTTCCCTTTTTTTTGGGGGGGCTGGGGGAAGACACCCCCACTTCTTCTCACCCTCTCCCTCTCCTCCCACCCCAGGGTTTCGCCTTCATCAGCTTCCACCGCCGCGAGGACGCTGCCCGGGCTATCGCCGGCGTCTCCGGATTCGGCTACGACCATCTCATCCTCAACGTGGAATGGGCCAAGTAAGCGCCGGGGGTGGCTCAGAGGATTTTGGGGGTGACTCAGGATTTTTTTGGGTGGCTTGGAAGATTTTGGGGGTGGCTCGGAGGATTTTGAGGGTGGCTCGAAGATTTTTTGGGTGGCTCAGGGGATTTTGGTGTGGCTCGGAGGATTTTGGGGGTGTCTCGGAGGATTTTGGGGTGGCTTGGAGGATTTTGGGGGTGTCTCGGAGGTTTTTGGGGTGGCTGAGAGGATTTTGGGGGTGTCTTGGAAGATTATTTGGGTGGCTCGGGGGATTTTGGGGGGCTCGGGATTTTTTTGGGTGGCTCCGGATTTTTTTGGGTGGCTTGAAGGATTTTGGGGGTTTCTCTGAGGATTCGAAGGTGGCTGGGAGGATTCGAAGGTGGCTCGGAGGATTTTGCGGGGGGCTAGGAGGATTTTGGGAGTGGCTCAGGATTTTTTGGGATGTCTCGGAGGATTTTGGGGGTGGCTGAGAGGATTTTGGGGTGGCTCTTCTCCTCACCATGTTTTTTTTCCT